AGCACTTATTAAGTTACTAGCTAAATAACTTTAAGAGCGTTTTTTAATGCTTTTTTAAAGTTTATTATAATAATTTTAAGCTATAATATCTAAAGCTTAGCGCGAATTTCTTCTAATATAGCTAATATTTAATAATAGCCCTTTTTCTTTTTAGAATTTATAAAGCCAAATATAATATTTATAATAGATTTTTAATTTATAATAATAATAATATTTAATAAATAAAAACCCTAATAATTTATCTTATAAGTATAGTCTATACTAATAAATTCTAAAAAAACCTTCTATTTTTTAATATAAAAAAGGTAGGTTTAAATAGCGCTTTTAAGATAATAGTTTTTATTATAAATATACCTAAAAAAATAGCTCTTTTTTTTTAGTTTCTTAATAAACTACTAGGAAAATATATAGCTAGTTAATTTATATTAATAAGCTTTTTAATATTAATTATAAATATCTTTAGGCTAAAAAAAAAGCTTCTTCTTATTTTCTTTATATATTATTATACTAATACCTTAAAGTTAAAAGCTTATATAATTAAAAAGGCTTAAAATTTACTTCTTTTATTAATATATAAATTTTTAATATATTATATACCTAAAAGAGTTACTTAACCTAATATAATTATAAAAGCCTTACTTTTTATAGTATTATACCTAATAACTAGAATTATTAATAAATATCACCTTAAGCTAGTAAGTATAGCTGGTTTTTTAAGAGCTTATTTTTTAAAGCCTAGCGCCTCTAAGTACCCTTTAATAGCCGCTGTAATTATAGTTAAGCTAGCTTACTTATAATTATTAAATACTATTAATAAGGGTTTTTAGTTATATAAAGCTTTTACTAAAAGTATAATTATTTTACTTACTAAATACTTATATAGCGTTATAAAGGTTATTAAAACTACTATAACCTACTAAGAGTAATAAATTTAAGGGCAGGTTTTTTAGATTTTTAGCTATTATAATAAAGCTTATAATATTATTAAAGAAAGAAAAAAGGCCTTATTAGCTATAGCCTTATTAAAAAATTTATATATTATAGCCTTAAAAAATTTATTAATTTTTATTATAGCCTTTTAGTATTAAGAAAAGCTATTATATATTTATACTAAAAATATACTATAAGGTTTAGCGCGGGATTACTAGACTAAAATCAGGGCGTGGTGGGGCGGTTAAGCGCACCGAGCAAAAGGGGTGAGCGCGCCGAGCAATCCACCGGTCTACGTTGGCCAGCACCATCTCGAGAAAGGCGTGCACGAGTACTCTCTTTGTAAACAATTCATTTATTCATGTCACACTGGACCTTTGCCCGTTCTCTTGATGCTGCTCAGTAGGTGGCATTCAGCCGCATATCCAGGTACTCGCTGCTATTAATAGGCTCATACTTCCTTGGTCGTTCCGGCCCCCAGCAGCCTGGTATACAGTCAATTGTAGAGTCAATGTCCGGGGCTACAAAGTATGGAATCGAGTACCTCTCGCGAGTCATCCGCGGTTCGCCCTCTTTCAACGGCTCATCAGCTGGAGGCGTACGAACGTGATGCAGCGTAGACCGCAGCACGTCGTTGCTCCATCTCATAAGTAGATCGCCGATATTGACAACCATTGTTCCTGGGATATAGGGCGCTGGGTTGAATTTGCCCTTTTCATGGATATCTTCGACCTCGAGTCCGCCGACTTGGTCCTGGAAGAGCATGGTTAGCGTACCGAAATCGGTATGGGCACTGATACTTTCTAGTTTGCCGGTCGCGAGGAGTTCTTCTTTGGCTGGCGGGTAGTGCAGCAGGCGGATCTGGTTTTGCTTGGTCTTGTGGTAATTGGTAAAGAAATCCTCCTTCAGGCCCATGCCAACGGCGATAGCGCGGAGCAGTTGCAATTCCATGCCGTAGCATATCTCGTAAAACTGGGTGAAGAAGTCGCGGAACCCGGGGATCACGTTATCGGCAGGCCAAATGTTTCGCAGCTTTCCCTCTGCACCCATTTCGTAGGATTCCTTGAAGTCTGGCTTTTTACGTTGGTTGGCGATGCCCTCCTCGTCAAAAACCATCTGGGAGACTTTTTCGCGGCCGATGCCCGAGTAGCCTCGGTGATACCATCCTTCTCGAGGGTGGGGAACCTTGTCCTTTTCGCCTTGTGGCAGGGCGAAGAAGCGTTGGCTCTGCCCTCTGGTCAGATTCGTGTCTAAGCTACGTTTGAGGGAACAACTTGGATACCCATTGGAATGCCTCGTCTACCACTTTCTGCGGAACTGAGTGGTTTTTTATGTAGGCGAAACCAAAATCCCTAAACGCTTCGTAGATTTCTTTCCCGATGGTGGCAAAATTTTCGTGCGTGCAGTCATCTTGAAGAAGAGGGCCAAAATCGATGATGGGGATTGCATGTTGCTGATTGGCGATGCCGCCCATGTTATCGCGTGTGACGTTTGAAAGCGCCAGGTTATAAGATATATGATGAATCCAAAATCAGACTCCCTGGCCAACTTGGGTTGTGGTTGTCGCACTTGTACGAGCGCAAAAATAGATGAGAACAAGTTGTGTTCATGGTTCAACTCACAAGGTGCGGGGTCTAATCCTGCAGATATTTCAAGCAATTATACATGTGGATTACTAATATTACTATTCTATGTGGGCGACGAATACATGCTCACCCAGGCGCCCATTTGATATTACGCCGTCTTTTCTTCCTGGAATGACGATCTGGATGCCATAGTTGATGGGTCAAGCGCCAGGTTCGAAAAGGTGGCGCATAATAACACAACGCCTGAATCACTTCATTAGCCTTTCCAGGTTGGGGATGTAAGGGAAAGTAAGCAAGCCATGGACCAAAATGGATTTGAGCGACTATAATTATTAAACATCTAGTTACGACAGAGCCCGAATATAAACTATAGACTCAGCCAGATACCTTGAAACTTGGACGCCTCATTTTTTTCACGACGGGGATTGATTGCACAGTCCCTGTTGAGAAAACAACAGCAATTTGCGTGACGTAATGAAGGTATTTTGGGATGATTACGAGAGCCTTTATTCAGTGAGTTCTCTGACATTGATGATGACTGGATAACTTGGTTGAGGGCCCTGGAAACCCGGGAAATTGCATCAGACATTTTTATACCCTGCTGAAGCTCCTGAAGCCCCCTGCTGTGACTCTCAATCCAAGCCCTGAAATAACATTGAAGCCCTAGAAAGAGCAACTATCGTGACCAATAACCTTCGGACTAGTGGTCTAGGCAAGAGGAAGCGCTATGTGTGAGGTAGTGTTGAGCCAATAGAACATGTCTCAGCCGTTAACCTGGAGATTGTTGTATTTGCCACTTCTTTGCTGCCAGAAGTCACATTTAGAATGAGATCTTGCTACCGTCTCATTTTAGGAAAGCACCATTATCTTCAAGTGAGATGGAGCTGATAATTTTTATCAGGCCCGTGATGCAGGTTTCCATATCATCTTCTCCGTCCCAGCCGGTCAGTCTAGTAGATAAAAAGCCAGGTTCTACACATATAATCGCAGTTTTGCGCCCCTCAGACTCCCACTCTCGGGCTAGTGTAACCGATACTTGGTTCAATGCGCATTTCGCAGCACGATACGCTAGACACGTTCCGATTGTATTCGATTCATCATAGATTATTAGCTTATATGGTTGTTCTTCTCGATAAGCAAGGGACAGGATGGCAATAAAGGGGCTACTTACTCGAGATGGAGCCAAAAGAAGACGAAATATTGATGACCTTTGGATTTGTGGCCGGCTCTAGTTGCGGCAGAAACTCCGTCATTGTAAGGTACGGGCCCTGCATCGCAATTTACTCAGCAAGAGACTTACCCCAGATAGCCGGAGCCAGGTGACATCCACTTACAATCGTCATAACACGAAGCCTCTCAAGCATTAGGGAGCTTGTCTGGTCTTTCCATGGCTTCGGATTCGGTGGTAGGCCTAACTGTTTGTGAGGGATAGCACCTGCGCCGGGGGACAGGATGCGGAAAAACCTCCGGAGGCTTTTCTGAGTCTGGAGAAGTTTTATGGATGCCCTCATGCCCTCCTTATCACGGCGAGTTGGGACAAAGATGCATACATGGAACGGGGAACCCTGTGGGCATGGACCACCTCAGCTCTGGTGGATTCTGACATGTTGGTTGCATAGTAGTCGATAAGATCACACAGTCGAGGACGTTGGAATCAGCCTATTGAACATTGGAACATGCGCACAGCGTGCATGTCTAGGAGCCGTTTGAGCCTTTTATTCCAGAACACGTATACTAGTGAAGGATTCTCGTATTCAAATAAAGGTGCTTTAGGATAGGTTTCAATTTCCAATCATCAGACTTCTCTCGTCATGGGGTGGGCGCTTTTAAGGAGATGAAAAGTAAGCGCGTCCGCTGACTTACTCTGGCCCAGGCGTAAACTTTCGGCCGAAAGCGCATTCATTTCCTGCATGTGCGGACATGTGCTGATTGTCGATACCCAGAAAGTGATTACATCAGTGTTTGCGGCAGCCGAGTAAAAGGCCGCACAGGCCAAGATTTGTACCTAGCTTCCTCTTCGTGTTCTTCCTCATTACCCTCTCCCTAAGCACGCATTTCAGAGAGAATGGCCTTTAGGGGTTCTATGCTCTCTTATTCGCAAAGATCAATTGCCTGCTTTATAGTAAGCATTATTCCATTCCACGGTACAGACACCCGTGGCCCTGTAAGCTTGATCCGAGCCTCTAACTCCATGTCTAGCTGTCAATCGGATGCAACAACCAGCACCAAATGTTTCCTCACAAGAGTATCACGGAAAATGGTGAGCCTACTATGGCAAATGAGGGAGAAGTCGTCGAAAAATGCCGACCAAGGCTCGAAGCCCTTTCCAACTTCTACAAAGAGATACATCAAAGTTTCAGGCATGGAATCTAGGAAGGCAGAAAGGGTTGCAAAGCATTTGGAGTCACTCAAATACCACGTTCGCCAGCATATTGGCGGTCATGGCGTCGTTGGGGTCTTTCGAAACGGTGCTGAAAAGGTCATATGCTACGGGCTGAACTGGACGCTCTACCCATTGAAGAGTTAATAGACTTGCCGTACAGTAGCAAGAAGCGCATGGTGGACCGTCATGGCAATGACCGGCCCGTCATGCAAGCATGTGGTCATGACATGAATATGGCGGCGCCTCTCGGTGCGGCTGCCCTGTTGCGGGCTGCAGCCGCGGAATGGAGTGGCACTCTTCTTATTGTTTTTCAGCCCGACGAGGAGGAGACGGGAGGAGCGCAGGCTATGATTGATGATGGGCTATACAACCTCGTTCCAGTGCCGGACCTCATGCTGGCTCAACACGTGGTTCCCTCAGCGACAGGTTCCGTATCTATCCGCTCCGGCCCGGTGCTTGTAGCTGCAGACTCCATACGTGTTCGAGTTGTTGGCGGTCCATGCGAAGGGACTCTAAATCCCCAGCAATGTGTGGATCCGGATCCTATCCCGATCGCGATGCGCGTTGTTCTTGGACTTGAAGACGCCGTGAGGGCTGAAATCGGGCCAGGCAAAGACGCCACGATTGCTTGCTGGGGTTTTCATGCCGGCGAACCGGGCAATGACTATGTTGCCTACGCTGACATTCTCCTTGACGTAAAGACGATGGAAGTCGAGGTTAGACTACAAGTGCACGAATTCATCAAGCGCCGGTTTCGAGAGGCGTGTCGCGAAGCTGGTATGCCTCTGGAACCAATATTCGACATCAAGGTTCGTGCTCCTCTTACGAGCAATGACGTGTTAATATCGGATGCGGTTGGAAAGGTGTTTAAACAAATGTTTGGAGACAACGCTCTGGAAATGGAGCTCACACGTGCGTGCGAGGACTTCTCGACACTTGGAGGCGGTTATAACGTGCCTTATGCGTACTGGAACTTTAGGGGAAGTGGAAATACGACCGGAGGCGCCATCGCTACAAACCACTCCCCCTACTTTGCTCCCATTATAGAGTCTGGTCTAGGGTGTAAAAACGGGTACCCCTGGGCACCCGTGGGTATCTAAGCTTTTCTTGGGTTATTTATGGGCTACTTATTTTATTATATAAGTAAATTAGGTATACTATAAGTAACTTATATAATATATAAGTACCTTATAAATACCTATAAAATATATAATAATATAATATAATAATAAAAATTAATTTCTTTTAATTAATTATAATAATTAATTATAATAAGTAACCTTAAATTATTAGTTTTTAATTATATTTATAAAAAGTTTTATACCTAAAGTTTTCTTCTTAATATTTTTACTTTATTAATTTATTTAAACCTTTAAGTAAGTAATTATAAGCTATACTAGAATTATATAGTATTTTTAGTATTTATTTAGTTATTTACTTATACCTAGGTTTTCTCCCCTTTTATAATAGTTTTTACTATCTTAGCTATAATACTTTATACTACACGTTTTTTATATTTAGCTTTCACCTTCTTATCTTCCCTTATATATATACATTTAAGGTATTTTTATTAAAGTAGCTTATATTAAACTAGTTTCTTAGTATTTTAACACGCCTAAAATTCAGCGTTTTAGACTTTTAAGTATATTATATATTTTTTATAACTAATAGCTTTACCTTATTTTAAACTATTATAATTACTTATAAAATAATTAATATAAATAATTATTATAAATATATAAAAGTATATATATATACCTTTTATATAACTTTATAAAAAGGTAGTATTTTATTTTTTAAAAATATTTAATATATTATATAAAGTAATAAAATTTTTAAGTATAATTATAATATACTTTATATATTAAGCTAAAATATTTATACTTATATTTAATTAATAAATAAGTAATTAAATATTTATAAAGTTTATATATTAATAAGTATTTAGATTAATACTACTTTAGCTAACTTTTATAGAGCACTTATAGTATTTTAATACTAGCAGGAAACGTGGTTATTATAGGTGTAACAGCTAAGGTTCCTAAGAGATAAACTAGTTATAATTTATATTAGTAAAGCTACTAGGGCAGTTAATCTAAGCAGTTAGGTATTATATTAGTAATAGGTTATAAATTATAACTAAGTAATCAGAGTTAAAAAGTTATAAGTAAAGCTTAAATTAATATAATAATTATTATTAGAAGCTAAAAAGCTAGAATTTATTTATAAAGTAAATTTAAGGGTTTTTATATATTATAATATTTACTTATTATTTATTAAAGTTCTAGTAAACTATAATTATATATATATTATTAGTTTATTTAAAATTTATTAAATAATTAATAAACTCTCCCCTATTAGTAGCTTATTTTAACTATTAATCTGTTACTTACTGTGCTTATATTATCCCGTGGCTTATGTAGCCGGCTTAACCTGCGACCTACGCTACAGCTTGTGACTGGGTCGTAATAATAGGCCTTAATAATCTCCTTTATAAGGCGCTAGAAGAGTGCTTTTAGAATTATAGTATTTATATTTTATTAGAAACGCTAGATTTCTTGTAATATTATAGCTGCTTAATATTAGTATTATAATAATTATTTATAGTAATTATATTTATTTATTATTAGGTTTAAAGTAACATGTATTTTAAGTAGCGGTCTTATTAGTTATACTAGGTAGCCTCTTAACTAAGAACCTTAGGTATTTTTATATTATTATTATATTTCCGCTTATAATAATATAATTAGTAAAATTAAATAGTAAAAATAACTAGTAAAAATAGCGGTTATAAGCAGGAAATATTAAGTAATAAAAATAACTAGTAAAAAAAGGTAATTATAAGTAAGAAAGTATAATAAGGAGAGGAAAAAAAAAATTAATAGCAAGAAAAACTTTATACCTAATAATAATTATAAAAAAAGTAAGGCGCTAAAAAAAATAAGTAACAAGAAAATTATACACCTAATTATAGCTATAAAAAGTAAGGCAAAGTAGGTCTAGGTAGAGTAATTAAGTTACTTTATACTTATATTTACTTGCCTTTAGAATTTATATATTATAACTTTTTTATATATTATTTATTACTTTAAGTATATTTTTTTATATATTTTTTATGGATTTTATTAATTATTTTTAGTAATTATACTTATAGGTATATAAATCCCTTATTTTAGGGTTTTTTTTAGTATAATATTATACTAGTTTAGTATTATAGTTATAATAAGTTCTAGTATATTTTATAAAAATATATATATAATTATACTAATTATTTTTACTTATTAAGCCAGCCTCTTAGTTTAAGTAATAAAAAGTATAAAGCTAAGTTTAAGCTTTTAGAAAATATATATATAAAGTAAGCAAGAAAATATTAAGTATAGTTAACCTTTACTAAATATAAATAAAAAAATAAGTAAAATACTATATAAGCTAAGTAATATTATAAATTAAAAAAATTATATAATATTATAAAGTATAAGTAAGCTATAAAAAAATATATAATACTCTTAAAAAAAAGTTAAGTAATATATAAAAGTAAAATAATAAGTATTACTTAATTATAATAATTATTTATATTAATTAATATAATATAAAAAAGTAATTATATTTAAATTAAAGCTATATTATAATACTTATTAAGTTAATATTAATCAAAAATAATAAGAATCTAGATTAAAAGAAAATTAATAATAAGAATATAAAACGTGTAAATATAATATAAAATCCTAATAAAGCCCTTTTAGTAATAGGGATTAAATATAAAAATAAAAGTATCTAAGATATTTAAAACAAAAAAATTATAATAAGTTTTATTTATATTATTTTATTAATTAATTTTACTAATATTATTTTAATATAATAATTATATTATATTTAATTTTATATATAATTTAGTTACTAAAATACTAGAGATAATCTGGTTTAAAATTCAGTAATTTTATATATACCTACTTAATTATAAAAAAAGAAATTATTGTTTTAAAGTATAAATAGTTTAATATTATATAAGTTTTTCTTTATATTAAATACTAAATAAATATTTAATATTATTAGTTTTATATACCTTTTATAGCTTAATACTTTAAAGGTATTTAGTGTAATAAAGTTATTAGTTTAGTACTTTATTACTTACTTATATTATAAAATATTACTATATAAGCTAAGTTACTATTATAAAGTATAGTAAAATGCCTTTTTAGTAATTAATTATTATAATTATTTTTACTAACCGCGTTTAAGTAATATTATAGAATTTATTAGAAGTTCTTAGTTAAATAATATATATAGGTTAATTACTTGTTTTATTTATATTAGCAGCTAAGTAAAATTAATATAATTTATAATCTTTATAGCTAGGGTTATATATACAACCCTAATATATCTTAGCTTATTATATCCCCTAAGTAAAAGAACTTACCTAGTTTAGCTTATTTTTAGTCTATTATATTTAATAACCAAATTATTAGTATATTTAAGAGCTTTAAGTAGCTCTTAAAAGGACTAAAAGATATAAAGTACTAGATACTTAAAAAATTTAATTAAAAAGATATTCTAAATATTAATTTAAAGCCAGAAGTTTTATAAATTCTTAGTAATATTTTAGTATAAAAAACTTAAGGATAATAAATAAATTACAGGTATATTTTTATTAATTAATTTTAATAACTAATTAGTAGCTTAGCTTTTTAATAATATAAACCTAATAATATATAGATTTATATTATCTTATAAGGCAATAGCATAATATAGTAAATTATATATAATAATAGTATTTTTTTCCCTTTTTTAAGCTACTTATTACTAAAAATTTAACTTAATTATATAAGTAATAATTACTATATTATATAATTCTAGTATATTATAAATTATATATATTATTATTACTAGTAACTTTATTATAGGATTAATTAAGTATATAATTCTCCTAATAATATACTAAAATAAACTTAGCTATAATACTAGTTTTTTAATACGCCTTTTTAAAGAGTTTTAATATAAGTCTTATAAGAAAAAAAAACATTAATATTTATTTATTTAATAAATATATAAGGTAGAATTATTAATACTTTATTTACTTCCTGGCTGCTATTAGTAGGTTTTATAGTTTAGCGTTAACTTTAATCTTATTATATAGCAGGATATTTTAGTTTTTTGCTTTATAATTATAGTATAATACTTACTTATATATAATACTAGCTAGCTAATACTTATAAACTTAAAATTATTATCTTATATTTAATAAATAAAAAGTAAGAAAAAATAAAAAATAAACGCTTATACCTAGAAAAAAATTTTATAAAAAAACTTATTAATTACCTTATTATAAGTTATATACTTAATCCTACTTAGCTAGAATTTTATATATTATTTTTATTTATCCTCTTTTTTAGCTTTAGCTATAATTTTAAACCTTTTTTTATTATTTTTTCTTAGTTATTTTTACTTTTATATTACTATAAAATTAAATCTTAAAAATAATATTTAGGATTTATTATTATCTCCTTTTTTATTACTAAAAAATAACTTTTTAGATATTAATTTAGAGCGGATTACTAATACTAATTATTTTTTATATAATATAAAAAATACTACTTAGTAATTAAACTTTATAACTTAATAGTTAATAACTAAATTCTATTAATAAAATATAATTACTAGTTTATTAAGCTTATTATTAAGCTTAGCTATAAGGAAAATATTTTAATCCTCTTACTAGTTTACTATATAAGACTCCTTTATATAAAGTATATAGTAATTAGATAGTATATTAAAAGTAATATATAATTATTATTATAATATACTTATTTACTTATTTACTTTCTAAGCTAATAATAGTATATCTACTATATTAAAATATATTATTAGAGCTAGATTTTATAGAACTAACTACTTAATAA